TATGATATCGTTTATGATAATGATATAATATCATTCATGATGATAAATGAATGTTCATATTCATTTATTGATTTGATTTATATCTTTTAGTTTATATTTCAAATAAATAATAATGAATAAAATCATTCATTTCAATTACAATAATTCGTTGTGGTGTGAAACGTTCTGGAAATTGTTTTCCACAAAGTGCATTTGATATTCCTTTATATTCATATGACCATTGAGTACAAGATGATTCTGTTTTATTATTTTCTTTATAAACACAAATATCACTTCCATCACCAAATGCAAACAAACACTCATGTGACTGACTAAATAAAATAAATGCATATTGTGGTTGTTTGATATCAAATTTCATCATTTCTTGTATTCTTCCATTTGATTTTAATGAAAATATAAATGATTTTGGATCATTTATCCAGTTCCAATTATTAACTTTATCAATTTTCACATTAACATATCCTCCAAATTTATTTCCATTTGTATCTTCAATAATAATTATTATATGTTCTTCATTTATTATTCTTTGATTAAATATTGATGTGTGCTTATTCCAATCATCAATCTCTGAATCAAATAGTATATTCCCTACTTTTCTATTTGTCCATTCTTCTAGTTGTTGAATTTCTTCTATTGTATTCATTCCTTTCATTATTTGTATTCTTTCTTCTTCTTTTCTCCTTCTCTCTTCTTCCTCTTTTATCTTCTTTTCTTCTCTCTTCTGCCTCTTAAAATAATCACTATAATATGTTTCCCATTCTTTTTTCTTTTTGTTAAATGATTGTGTGATTTTATCTGTTTCTTCTGGTGTTCTGAATATTTTATTTTTCATTATCATTTCTTCAATTGAAATGATTTTATTGATTATTTCATTCCGTGTTTTACTTAGTATTTCAGAATCTGAATTACATTCTTCTATTATTTTATTCATTTTATTTTTAATTATTTCTATTTTATTTATTGTTTCTTGACTTTTTTCTATTACTATTCTTCTTCTTCTAATTGTTTCATCAATCCTATCAAATATTCCTTCTCCTCTTTTAATAGCTTGTTCATATGTCTCATTGTCTTGAATTTCAAATATTTCATTTTTAATACTTCCTAAATAATAATGATAATGTTTATTAATATCATCAATTGATTGTTGAATATTTGGAAGTGTTTCTATTTCTTCTTTAAAGAAATGAGTGTTCTTGTTTATTAACTCTTCCATTTTAATTTAATTAATATCAGATTAAAATAACAAGATTAAATAGTTAAATACACGTTTATAATACATCATTATTTTATTATTTTATCATTTCATTTTTATTGTTTTAAATAACAATAATAAAAACAAGAAAATAGAAAATAATAAAAATAAGAAATAACAAAATGTCTCATCACAAATAATGATGGAAATCAAATAAGAAAGAAATAGAAATAAAAAACAAACATCAATTAAAAAGTAGTTAATTAAGTATTACTAGTTTTATTTTATATTGTTCATTGCTTGCCACTAACTAATCATGTCGTTATGCTGTAAGAATGAGTGTTTGTCATTCTTCTATTATTTAGACTTTCCTCATGATGAGAGGCGTGAATTTCTATTCTTCACTGTTTTATTTAGATTAAATTAGTGTCTTTTCAAACTTCCTCTTCTTGATTATTCATCACAACTAATTTCTCATCTTTATTTGATTTAACGTGCGTTAAAACGCCTCATTCTTTACTTTCTTATTTAATGTTGGTTATATCATTACCACTATATTACTATCCCTACTTTCGTTTGCCATCAACAACAAGTAGATCAATATTCATTGATGGTACCCATATATGTTCAATTTCCTCAATTTATTATCAGATACACTTGTGTCCTAACAAGTAAATAATACAACCATCTTTATAAATAACTTTACTTTTATTATAAATGATATTCTGTTATCGTAAATAATGGTCAGCGGTATTCACTATTGACCAAGATGTTTTCTAACTAATAGCAGCGTCATAACCACACGATAACTGGTGATTCAAATTTTGGATTTACTTTAGGGTTTTATTTGGTTTCTCTAACACGTCGCCTTCAATTATTGAAAAAAAGATAAACAATACATACAACAACAATACCAAATAATACCAAACCAACAATATGACAAAGAAATTTAATAAGGAAAGAAATAAAGAAACAGAAGGTACACTGATAATAAATACAACAATAATGATATCACCAATAATGAATATGAAAATAAAAGAAAATAAATGAATAAAAAATAAAGAATAAGAAGAAACGAATATAAATAAGTAAGAAGTAATAAACTTACAATAAGAAATAAAGGCACCAGAAAACAAAGAAATAAAATAATAGATACACTGAATAATTTTGAGTTAACTTGTTAACTACAAGATAAGATTATTTGAAGAAAAGAAAATAAAAATTAATAAAATAAGTATCAGCAGATCTTGTTTTATTTACTTCACTTTACTCAGACGAGATTATATCATTCATTCTCTTCAAAATCATTGTTCACGAGGTACTTCTCTATACTCACTTCCATAATCTCCACAGTATTTCATTATCTTTCATGTTTATAATTATTATATCTTTTACATTTATTTCATATTCATTTATTATACTTTGTTATTTTATCATTCTTACTGATTCTTTATTGATTATTCATTTATTGTTATTACTACTGGAATTACTTTCACACAATGTAGTTTATTAAATTGTATTATTTTGAAATGGAGAGTTCTATACATTTCAAGTTTGTTAGTAAATGCTATAATTATCATTTTATCACATATTATTGTCATATCATTCATTATTCATATTTATTTTATTTTACCTTCTATATAAATATCTGATATTTTATGAAATTTTCACTTTTATTAACTATTTGTTGATTCAATATAATGAACACTTCATTATTTTCAATTCTTCATTTGAATTTACCAATTTCATTTTTATTAAATATTAATTTCATTTTATTCTCTTTTGTTTTATTCTCAATTTCTTCTTCATTCATTGTATTATTTTATATTTTAATTTAACATCTCTCCACATATATTCTCCTATTAAATCATGTTTATCAATTTGTATATTCTTATTTACATTGTATTTTAATAATATATGTTCAATTGATTTGAGGTATAATTATTCATTACATTTATTGTTATTTCTATTATCTTTTTCTTGATTCTTTCATCTCTTTTATTCATTTCTATATATACTCTTCTTTATTTATCTTTATTCTTCTTTCTTCTATTATCTCTTTAATTTATGTAATATCTAATTTTCATTTTAATATTTATTATATTTAATCAATAACAATAACTTTTTATCTTCTTTTCTTCTAATTCTGAGTTGTTCTTTCTTCATTATTTCTTTATCTCTTCTTTCTTTTATTTCTTTTCCATATTCTATTTCAATTTGTTCTTTTTCATATCTTTCTATTATTTCTTTATCTTTTATTTCTTGTTCTTATATTATTTCTTTTCTTCTTTCTTACATAACTTCTCTTTCACTGTCCTATCTCTTCAAATCTCTTCATCATTTCTTGTATTATTTTCTTATTTTCTTTTTCTTTTGTCTCTCCTTCATTATTTTTCTTGTAATATCTTTTGTTTCTATATCTTTTACCTTGTTTATTCTCATGTAATATTGATTAAACATTTTACTTGAATTATGGTATTTGTGTTATAATAATTACTTTTCTTTTTATTATAAGTTTGATTAATTGAGAATGTGCTATAGCATTTATAAATATGATAATTAATATTAAAGTGATTATGGCTATTATTTTGCTGATAATGATTATAGTTATAGTATTGATAATATCTTCTAAATCTATTTGTTGGTGCATTATTATTTCTATATGATTTTCGTTATATTCTTATACTACATAAATAAACTAAACTGATAAAAAAAATTAAAGAAGTAAGAAATAAAAAAAAGATATTTCAAAGTAATTTCAATAATGAGCTAATAAATACAGATGGCACTAAATTAGTTAAAGAATTAAAAGTCGAAATTTACAATATAAAAAGTCAACAATTTTGTAATTAAAAATATAATGGATATCATGAAATAATGTCTCTATCACAACCATTTCATAAAGTTAACTAAAAACAAGAATGAGATGGTCTCTTCAGGATGAGAAATAGAGAACAATCTATAACCCTTAACTAATTTATATTATTGTGTTGATATTATTTGTAGTTTCTTATGAATTCTTCTATCAATTTCTTAATTCTTTATTCTCGGGATTTCATTATCATTTCTTCTATTTATCATATAGATAATATTCAAATCTTATTATTTTTCATCTTTCATTTGTATAATCTCATTTTAATTTCATTTAACAACAATAATTAAATAACGCTATTATATGTTAATCATTCAAATAATGATAATATGAATTTTATAGTTTTCAGTTTATCAAAGTTATGATAAAATGATAAATGAGAGTAGTGAAATAAACTTAATCATTTTATTTAATTTATTATCTAATCAAGTTATTCAATTTATTCAATGAAATATATTATCATTGCAATTCTTCTGTTTTGTGTTTACCATTTTAATCAGAATATTATTTCATATCTTTTAAAATCAATGAATAAATAGATAATTATCATTTCATTCTTATTACTTTATTTTTGTGATGTATGAAATGATAAAATAATATAATAAACATTATTAAACTATTAAAATGTTATAAAAATAAAAATTAAATGAACTTAAAAATAAATAAGAGATGAAACCTAGAATGGTAACAATGATAATTGATATTGAATATGATGACATGGATGTGTATTTGTATGATGGAAATGAATATGAAAGAGTTGATAAAATGAAATATTTAAAAGAAGAAGAAAAGAAAATAATTGAAGAAATCATTTCCAATGATAAGAAGAATGTGAAAATTAGAAAAGAAAATATTAAAGGAGTAGAAATGATGATTAAACCAGAAAGTAAATTATCAATAATATTCAACAATATTAAGAAAGAAGTAGAAAAGAAAGGAGAAATTGAAAGAACAATCATTTTTATTCCTAATGGAACAAGTCAAGGAAATGAAAGAAGAATAGAAAATTCAACAAAACTTGGAAGATTAAATAATGTACAAATCATACGGAAATATCATATAATTGAAAGAATACTTTCAGAAGAATATAACATAGAAACACCAATTCTTATCATAGAAAATACAGAAATAACATATGGAAATATTAAAAAAGAAAAAGATAAGATAAAAATAAGAATAATAAATACTATAAGAACAAACAATATAATAGAAGAAAATAAAGAAATCAATAGAATAACAACAGAAGAAAAAGAAGAGAAAGGGATAATAATAAATAATAAAATAAAACAAGAAAACAAAATAAACACAAAAAGATGGAGATATAAAGAAATCAACGAAGAACCATATATTAAAACAATAATAGAAATGATAAAAAAAGAAGAAGAATATTCAGAATATTCAGTAGAAAGAGAAATGATAATAAATATCAAAAGAATACTATACAATAATAAAATCAATAAAGGAATAATTGGAAAAAGAAGAATAGGATATAATGAAATAATGATAACATCAAAGTATTTTAATGATATTAAAGATTTTATTAATTTAGAAATAGGAATTAAAAGATTTAGAGGAAATATTGAACGATTTCATTTTAATCCAATTCCATTAAATGAATATTCAAGAAAATTCTTTCCTAATATTGAAACATTTCATATTTATAATAAAAAAGATAAAATATTTAATGACGGAAGAATATTTACATATGTAATATGGTATCCAGTAAGTTATTTAACATATTTAAAAGAGAAAGGAACAGGAAATATCTATAAAAATATAGAATATACACAAAAAGATATAAATTTATTTGGAAATACAATACCATCAGAAGTTAAATCACTTGGAGATCAATGTTTTTATACATGTAAATCATTAAAATCAATTAATATACCATCATCTGTTAATAAAATAGGAAATAATTGTTTTTATGAATGTACATCATTAACATCAATTAACATACCATCAACAATTAGTAAAATAGGAAATTATTGTTTTGATGGATGTTCATCATTAACATCAATTAACATACCATCATCAATTAAAGAAATAGGATATAAATGTTTTTATGGATGTTCATCATTAAAATCAATTGATATAAAGAACATACAATATACGAGTGAAGATAAAATATTTGTAGGAGATAAAAAAATGGTATCAATTGATATTGGTAATTTAATGAAAATTAATAAAAATAAAATAGAACGAATGGACGTTAATAAATTTTTAATTCCAACAACAGTTAGTGATATAAAGTCTCAATGCTTTTCTGAATGTTCAACGTTAAGATCAATAAACCTTCCTTCATCGATTATTGAAATAGGAAATTATTGTTTTTGTGGATGTTCATCATTAACATCAATTAATATACCGTCATCAATTAGTAAAATAGGGTATGAGTGTTTTGACAGATGTTTATCGTTGAAAGAACTTACTATTCAAAATATAAAATTCATCAGTAAAGAAAGAATATTTATGAATGAACCAGTCTTATTTAGTATTAAAATACCAGAGAGTATAAAAAAAATAAATGGAGGAATTATTAAATGTGAAGACATTAATGATTTTAGGATTCCAACAATGATCACTAAATTAGATGACAATTGTTTTTCTGAGTGTTGGTCATTAACATCAATTAACATACCTACGTCAATTACTAAATTAGGAAATGAATGTTTTTATAGATGTAAGTCATTGACATCAGTTACTATTCCAACAACAATTAGTGAATTACGAGACAATTGTTTTGATGAATGTAAGGAATTAATGTCAATTAATATTCCATCAACAATTGAAGAAATAGGAAATTACTGTTTTTATGGATGTTCATCATTAAAATCAATTAATATACCATCATCAATTACTTCATTTGGAAATAGTTGTTTTTATAAATCTGGATGTGAAAAAAGTTTAAGAGAAATTACAAGAATCCCTAAAAATTGTTTTGAGTAAATGGTAATGAACCAAATATTAAAACAAGTCTCTGTAACATATGAAATGTCTTCCAATTTAATGTAGAAGTGAAATGGGTTATAACAAAATATTATAATTTAGATTCTTATTTTTGTTTATTTCTTACTTTTATTTCTTTTTTATTTAATAATAATAATGAACATATATTATTAAATTGTATTGTAAATAAGAGTATACAAGTTGATAAACAAGATTTAATGATGAACATATATTAAGAATAACTAAATTAAAATATAAAATAAATATAATGAATGAAAATAAAATAGAGAATGAAATGAAATTATTCTTCAATAAAATGAAATTGATAGAAATCACTAAGATAAAATAATACAATAAAATACAAAATAAAAGTAATATCAATAATAATGATTAATAAAGAATTAGTAAGAATAATCAATGAACAATGTATTATAAAACAATATAAAATAATGTAGAAATCATGAAGGAGAATAGAGAGATATAGAAGTATCTCATGAACAATACATTCAAGAGAATGAAATAATTTCAAATAAATAAAATGAAATAGAAAATTCAAGTTATATTGAAATTTAATTGTAAGTTTTATTTTTTCAATTTTTTCATTGGTTTAAAATATCATTTCAGAACCACAACACACAACCATAAAATGAATCCAAGAGTCAAACCAAATATCGTCTAGTCACTGCATTATATTTAGTGAAACAACACCTCATTTAAGAATGTTGATGGTATTTATTTATTAAGAATTAGTATGAATGATTATTAAGGAATGTTGTTATTCATTAGGATGTTAATGTTATTCATTTGTTGGATGGAAGTACATTTATTAATGAAAGATTAAAGTTGAATAAGGTGTGTTGTTAAGATAAAGAAGGATTCTACTCAGATTGTTAATATTAAAGAAGATGAAGCATGGTCATGATGTTATTGATATATTCTTCTTAAAATGATATTATAAATAACCAATTTCAACATTCATTAACTTTAATTAAAACACAAAACACAACTTAAATGATTCTTCATTTAAAAGATAATAATTCAATGAAAATAAAGAATATTAAAGAAACTGATTATCTCACTTCCTAACATGATAAAACACAAAACATTAAGTAAATTCCAATGAATATTTTATTATCAAATGAATTGTTTATTATGTATCTCATAGCAATTAAATTATACAATTAAAATACTTTTTATTCTTATTAATTCAATTATCTTATTTCTTTATCTCTTCTTCAATATGGTTGAAAGCAATTTTCTGGTATTGTTTTATTCTGTTTCAACATTTCTTCACACCCACATTCATAAAAACATGCTGTTCCAAATGCTGTAATTGATGATGGTATGTTAATTGATTGTAATGATGAACAACCACTAAAACAATACCCTCCTATTTCATTAATTGATGATGGTATAATAATAGATGTTAATGATTTACAATAATTAAAACAATAATCTTCTAATTTACTAACAGATGAAGGTATATTAATTGATTTTAATGATGAACAACTAGAAAAACAACTATACCCTATTTCATTAATTGATGATGGTATAGTTATAGATGTTAGTGTTGAACATCCAGAAAAACAATATTCTCCTAACTTAGTAATTGAAGGTGGAATAATAAATTCATTAATGTCTTTCTTTTCAATATTCTTTCCATTGATTATTTGTATATTTTTTGGTGTTTCAATACTAACTAACACTGGTTCATTCATAAATATTCTTTCTTTACTAATAAATTGTATGTTTTGATTGTTAATTGATGTTAATGATGTGCACCAATAAAAACAATTAAATCCTATTGTACTAATTGTTGATGGAATAGTTATTGATTTTAATGATTTACATCCATTAAAACAATTACCAGATAATTCTTTAGTTCTACTTGGGATATCAATTCTTGTTAATGCTATACACCAATCAAAACACTGATATCCAATTGATGTAACTTCTTGTGGTATTACTTCTCCATATTTCATTCTATCTAATTGTGTGTATCTTATATTTTTATATACATCCCATTTTTCTTTCTCTTTTAAATAAGTTGAATAATCTACTTCATACCATATTATTTTTTTAAATATTTTTCCATCATTAAACACTTTATCTTTTTTATTATAAATATGAAATGTTTCAATATTAGGAAATAATTTTCTTGAATATTTATTTAAAGGAATTGGATTAAAATGAAATCGTTCAATATTTCCTTGAAATCTTTTAATTCCTATTTCTAAATTAATAAAATCATTAATTTTATTAAAATACTTTGATACTATCATTATTTCATTATATCCTAATTTCATTATTGATTTATTATTTATTAATTGTTTTTATTAGTTCTTTTATTTTTATATTTTAATTTCTTCTTTTTTATTATTTTATCATTTTTTTATTTTTATTAATTGATGTTTATTATGAAAAACAAATAAAAAGCAATTAATTAAGTGTTAATAGAACTTGTGTCTATTGTTCCTGCCTCAGGGGAGACTAATTCCGTCAATGAGTCTTCATCACGTAGTTCAAAAACATATGTTTGGTTGTTGTAGAATCAGTGTTCCATGACGTCTATCATGTTTTTAATTACAATGTTTTTAATTTCTTTTATCTTATCAATTTCAATTTTTAATTCTTTAATTATTTTAATACTTTCGACATTTATTAGCCCATTAATCCAAATTACTACTCCAATTATTTTGACATCCTTTAATTTCTCCATTTTCATTACCCTATTTTTCAATTCTTTATACATATTTCTTTTCTTCCAATACCCTCCACTAATATTGTGATCTGCCACAATAGTCATATCAATTATTAGACCAGTTTTATTCTTTTTATCTAGTACATATATGTCTGGTCTTTTATGATATAGTCCATCACTTTTTGGCATTATTTGTTTGTTCAATATCATAGTAATGTCATTGTATTGGAACACTGTTTCATATGTTGATTTCTTGTATTGTTTATTTCTTGTATATTTTCTTATTATTTAATATGATAATGCCAATATGGTCATGTTTCTCCATTTGTGATTTTTTATGACCAATGCAAGATAGTAGAATGTGTTCTACTGTGGCTATCTTGTCTTTACAAAGTGGGCAGTACTTCAATCTTTCATTTTTTAATATTTTATCTTTCCTGTACACACTAAATATTGCTCCATCTTGCATTTTAGTTAATTGAAGAAATGCATTTTTCTTTATATTGATGGACTTCAATGCATTTATTGTAGTAGTTTTATCTACAAATTTTGACTCGAACCATCTTCTAAAATGTCCACTTGTTTGATTTCCATTTTTTGATGTATTTGTTGGTTATTAACTTCTTTATTTTTAATACTACTTCTTTTTTATTTTCACTTCATTTATTATTTCTTCTATTTTCGTTTCTGGGATCTTATGACCTAGGGCTTTTTTAATTCTATTCAATATTCATTTCTTTGAATACCATCTATCTATTATGTTATTTCCTATTTCATTCTTGTACAATAGTACTTTACTGTTCTGATTAATTCATTAACATATTCTTCAATTATGCTTATTAATCATTCACCTATTTCATTTATATTGACATATAGACGGTCTTTGGAGTTACAACAATGTATTTTGCCTTTCTTAAATATTTTCTTATCTCCAAATCCATTCTATCTATGTTACCTTCCAATTTACTACTGATGCTGAACATCTGAAGATGGGTATTACTTCATTATTAATTCTTGTAATATAACTTCTATTACTACTTTCATCAGTATTTATTTCTTCCATTTTCTTCATCATCTTTTCTTTGATGATTTTACAATTGAAGGTATCATTAATTTCATCGGACTGCCATACACCTAAATATTTATACAAGTCCTCTCCTTCAATTATTGGGATGTTTTGCATTCCATTTGGTATTTTATTAATGTTCTTTAATACTATTCCTGATTTATTTTCATTCATTTCCATCCCTATTCTACTTATTATTTCTTTAATTTCATTGTGGATTGTTCCCATTTCTTCACTACTTAGTGTCATTATTCTCAAATCATCCATATACAATGTACTGTTTGATTTTGGGAACTTCTCTTCTATGATTTGAGAAATTACATTCATTTTGATGATGAAGAGTAGAAATGATAATGAATCACATTGTAAAATTCATCAATTTAATACATCCTAGATATTTATTATATTTATATCATATGAATATCTTCAATCTGTTCATCATACTTTCTACAATGTCTATGATGACACCCTCTACATTAAAATATTTAAGTGTTTCTATTACCCATTCATGATTTACTGAGTCATATACTTTCTTAATGTCATAATATGACTCTACATATTTTGTGTATTTCTCTTCTTTTTGCTGATTTAACATATAACTGTTAATTAATCATTCTTTAGCAGCAAGAGATTGCAGTTTACATCATAATTGATTTTTACTAATTTTTAATGATTCATTATTCATGTTAATTCTATTATGAATCTTCTCTTTCAATATTGAGGTAAATACTTTCATTATTACATTTGTACAACTGATATGACGATAATTAATGACATCGTTCATATCACCTCATTTGTGGATTAGTATAGTTCTTCCACTTACCATATCTAGAGGGATGTTTTCATTGAAGTTTAACCATTCGTTGAATATATTAAGAATGGAATCTCTTGATGATGACATTCTCTTCCAATAATACCCATATATAGTGTCAATGCCTGGTGATTTCCAATTACTTATTTTCATCATAATTAAATTTAAATCATCCATTGTGGTGATGACACTATCATAATTCCTGTATCTTTCATTCCACGAGGTGATTTGTTTTATTTTCAAATGTTCTTTATTTAATATCACCTGTGTTTCATATAATGATTTCCAATATTCTAAAGTAATATCGTTATTTGGGTATATTTCATTTTGTGTTTCTTCTTTATTTTAATTTTGTTATTAGAATCAAACATAATTTTATTTGTATTGATTCTGACAATTTCATTTTTATTAAATTTAATTCT